CTCAGTAGCATGGAATATGCTGCAGGCGTTGCTATGCATCCGAAAGAAAGAAAAACAAATCATGACTAGCGCTTTTTTCGCTCTCCGCTCTCTTGTACGTATAATTTGTAGTGCAAATGAAACTGGGGTGGAGATTTTTTTCTTTTCTTGTTTTTTAGTGTTTTAGGGAAAAGTAGTTGGATTTCTCGTCCACGTAATCTCTTATAAACGCCGAGCAAAGCAGACGGAAAAAGCAGAGATAAATCCAGACGGCTTTTCTACTGCTTGGCTTTAATGCGAAAAGTCAGAAATATCGTCCTGATGTTCGTGGATGCTCTGCTACACCTATACATTTTTAAGAGAAGCTTACTTCTAGCGATCGTCGTGCAAGAATGATTTGGTGTTCAAGCGTAGTGTAGCGTTTTCTTTGCTGCGCACTCGCGTTCAGACTTGCGACGCTTGTTTTCGTACAAGATTAAAATTGAAAAAAAAACAGTGCCTGCCATCTCGAACCAGACCAGGAGTCTCTTCAAAGTCCAATACTCGTGCGTGCGCAACTTTCCGAGCCGACGCGACGTCCAAAAGGAAGAGAGATGCGCCGGCAACTCGTCCCCCGTAATTTGCACGTCCTCGGCTATCAGCGGCTGGCTTTTGTTCTCTCCGCGCGCGCGCATGCATCGTGGAAGGAAGAAGTGCACCCGACTACTACCCCATTGTTGCGTGCCATTCATCTCCGGCGAATATGCATGCGCGCGTGGGAGAGACAGAATGAAAGTTATAAGAAGAGAGCTTGATTAAGCACCAGACACTCTAACCGCGCGCATTGTCTAAGTTTTCCTTTTTTATTTGCCGGGGACGCGTGCACTTTCATCGATTATTTGCAAATGCCGGTGATATTTTGCGACGACGCACGCTCAACAAGGCTTGCAACGCTAGTTAATTTCGCAACCAAAATCAAATCATAAAATGTTGCATAAGTGAAACATTATTATAATGTAATCAGTCAGATGCTTTTTAGGCGAATCGAAGGCACTGATTTGCTTGTAAATATTACTGCAACTACGAGATGGCGAAGTTGGTTTCACATTAGGAAAACATTTTTTCTCGGCATAAAATAGCTTAATTAAAATGACATAATGATAAATTAAATGGAATTTTAGCTTTTTATACTGTTCCAGAGGTAACTAATGCAAAATAAGTAGAGACTTACACGTTTAATAATTCGAACGTATATTTAGACAATATTGATTTACTACGTTTCTGACTCCTCAGTTCATTTCAAGAAGTTCAATGTAACGAACACAATTGATCACTTTACGAACTTCACTTACAGAAATATAGAAAACGCTTAAAATACAGAAATACAGAAAACGCTTAATTAGCTTTTGTATTTATTCGCAAAAAAAAATGATTTTTCCTTTGTTTTACGATCACAGTCATCGAGCGGAAAAATTCTCAGGCGTATTTTAAAGAGAAGTGCAGCCAGTTTGACTAAGTCTCGTGTATCGACATTTCAACGTTTGGATGAGTGTACTGTTTTCAATTAGAAAACATTGATTAGTCAAATCTTACCCGAGTTATAATTCAGAATCAACCATCTAGCAAATTGCGAGAAAACAAATGAACAAACGAATTCCTCCGTAAAGAAGAGCAATGCGAGCTGTACCACACGGGATTCCATTCTATTTTCCGCGAGAATTAAGTTTAGCTCGGCGTGATAATTAAGGAAACGCAAAAGGCATCGCAATGAGCATCGCCAACGAATTACGCGCGCCGCGCCGCAAGAGAGAGAAAGAGAGAAGGAGACACGCGCCAAAGAGCCGGAAGTGTCTTGTAGTTTTACCACGCTACTACACGAGTCTATTAGAGCACGGCTGATGGAAGATTTAAACTTTGTTAATGCAACAATATATATATATATATATATATATATATATATAATACTCATTTATTTACGGCGACATTGATTGCCTTTTTACGGTAGCCGATATTATCTCGACGCAAGAGCAATTTGATCACACGCAGGTGGTTTTTCGAAATCATTGTTGGAATTAGAGTGAGAAAACGATAAGTTGTCTTTTGGATTTGTTAACACAAATGAAAGAGCTGTAATCGACGTTCTTTTGCAATCTGTCGAATATAACGAATATATTAGACAATGAATTACATTTCCGTTGAGCGAAAAAAAACAATCGTTAGCGAGTTAGCGAATTAATTACGCAAGATCGAAGGCATTCCTTTTAAAAAACTCCGTCAAGCACTTATCGACTTCTCATAATTACCCTTCGTGACGTTCCACAATAAACGTATATGAAAGATAATTCAATGCGCGAACGCCGCGTCGAATATTTAATGGCGACACGTCCGTCCATAAATTATATCACAAAAGGGACTCCCTTCGGTCGCGTAACATGCAACGCCAACACTCGACGAGCAACTTCAAAGGACTGGGTTTTTTATTCTTGTAGAATGGACTCTCTTTTTGGCAGATGAAAAATGTTGAAACCAACGGATTGTTCCAATCTAATGTAACTACGAGATGTGATACGTTTTACAACGGCTTCAATAGGCTAGTTACAATAAAGTTTTATTGAGAACGGAAGATTATGATATCTGTGGAAGATCAGTCACTTTTCATCCTGTTTTATAGCGCCAATAAACCATCGCAATCATTAGATCGTCGTAAACCACTAACCTGGTAAACATCTCACACCATATACCAACTCTTCCGTTTATCAATGTACAATTTTAAAAAGCCACGATGACCCTCAAGCGCGAATAGTTCAAGCGTACGCGACACTCTCTCACACGTATATCGCAGCAAACTCATCTCTCTTTCTCTCTCTCTTCCCCGTCTAACTGGTTAAAGACCCCGCGCGCACGTGCAATTTGTTGCTTTCGTGGAAAAAACCGGAAGACTGCTGCGATGACCGGTCGCGCGTATATTATGCTTGATAGATTCTTAGCCATGTTGTTTGCGCCTGATTTTTCACGACGGCTTAAGGTGTATTATGGAATAACTGTACAGTTCGTCAAATCGGTTCTAAAAATAAAAAGAAAAAAAAATCCCAAAAGTACCGCACGAAATTGAGATCTTGAACTTTTTTTATTTCTTCTTCGAATCAAACAAAGTCGGCGGAAGTTCAGAATTTCAACGCGAGCCGTGAAAAATCCAAACTGTATCGGAGAAAAGAAACGCGGAGAGCGGATAGAGAGAGAGAGAGAGAGAGAGAGAAAAAAAAAACGAAGCCACGAGACATCCTACTCTGGAGCAACGTCCGTTCCGGACTCGAGAGTTTCGCGCAGCGAGCAATTGAACGCTCGCGAGAGGAGCGAAAGAGCAGGGGAGTTTTGTACGAGTGTACACAAGCAAGGCGAGCATATCGTGATTGCACTCATGCGCGTAGCGCGGCTGTGCTTCGTTTTTCGGTTGGTCAAGCAAATAATTAATGCCGCCGATGAAGTGGCAAACGAGTTTCCGATTATGTGGTTTGCTCATCGGGATCGAGATATTCAAAAGAGGATATTTTTTTTACGGTTGAGACGATGAATGTCTATATTCAAAAAATTGGTTCTCAGATTGACGAAAAGTTTGAAAAATTGTATTATTAGACGGAGTGCAAATTCATGTTATAAGAATAATAAACATAATTTATCAAATATACCTATTAGACGTATTATTATAAACTCATTGCAATCGAAAACTGCACTTAAAATGAAATTGAAATATCATCGACCACAGTACAGCGTTTTCCAGATCAAGTGTCTCGCTCAAGTATTCCATTATTTTGCCTACAGATGCACTTCTTACCACTTCAACCGGCTTATCGCGGAGATACAAGAATTCAGTTCCTACTTCGTGAAATTGAATTTTTGCTTCGCATAGTCAAATTTTTGCGTGATCATATTTATATAGTACATTGTTGTCCGTTTTCATCTACTGTAATAAGAGAAACGTACTTGTCTCTTTTCAAAATCCAGAGTCAGCAGTTAATACGAGTCTTTGAAGAAGCTAACGAGAAAAATTATTTGAAATTAGAAGTTTATTCTGAGCTTTCCAAGATAAATCATCGCAAAATTGCCCTAGCTCAGTTGGAAGATATGAGGAGTTTTTGATTTGCTACAGATATTACGATCCTATTCAACAAACTTATTTTCTAACATTATGTGTGTGTATGTATCGCATTTACTGCAGCAACGATTCGTGTACAAAAAAACATCTTAAACTGTAAAATTAAAATGCAATAACTATCCCGGTTCACCTTCTCATTAACCCAATTAGGTAACAGCCGAAGAGTACCAAAAAGAAAAGAAACCGGTTCTCCGATTTGAGCAAAAAGGTACATCGCCGTACGAAAATCGGAACCGGATAATACAGATATATAGCGAGTCTCACTCATGTAACACACGTGCCTCGCTCGCTCTCTCGAGAGAGATTTCACCGACCTTAAAATACACTCGGTTCATTTTCACGAGCGCCGTGTTGTCTCTCCGGCCGCAGCTTCTTTTATATCTCAATCGATGAGCAGCGGTGAAAACTGACTTTTATATCGAGCGGCGCTTGACTAACTGATAAGTTGGCTCGTAGCTTTCGTGCCATGTTGATGGAAACGATTGGGCTTTCGTCGAGGCCGCTTCAGCATCGACAACGATTTCACAATCATTTCTTTCCAATTGCCACGGCGTTTAAATTATACAACTCTACGCGATTGACCTTTAAAGAAACAGGTGGATTTTCTTTCAATCCAACTCGACGAGTTCTTTCGAAACGAAAAAAAAAAAAAAAAAAAAAAAAAAAAAAAAAAAAAAAATTACCGAAAAAGCAAATGCACCGTCAATCTGATGCATCTGAGATTACAGACTCCTCGTTCGAGAAACTTTCGGTCTTGAAAGCCAAACCGAACGAGACCCACCATCCCTTGCATTTTCCTCTCCAACGATCGCGCGCGCGAGCTCGTTACAGATGAGTAAAGCTGCCGAGAGACGATTGCGATCGAACGTCGTCGGGTGCGCGTATGTACCTCCCAAGCGTGTCCTTGGCAGAGTCCTCGGCGACGATGGCGTTCGTTTCGACGATGCGGCTTTCAGCGTCTGACGTCACAACCACCATCGTCGCACTCTCCTCCTCCCATGTCTTTGAGGTAGCAAAAAATAGAAGCCTCGTTCATTTACTTTATTTATCCCGTCTTCCCGCGATCACGGTGACCTTGATGTGACGCAAGATCAGTTACGCGTGTTGCAGAACTTGTCGCACCGACGGGCACTTGACACTTTTACCGTGCATTGAAAGATATAGATCGCGTTGGGCATGACTATGACGTTTGCTTTGGATTTGTTAGAATTTCATTTCAATAATTCTAAGCTAACAAGAGGCATCGATTTTTTTCAATTTCTGTATAGACATCAAGTTCTATATTGAATTTTAATGAGAATAACTTGGTTTCCGTGAACGTCAACCGCTGAATCTGCCAAAATTTTGCGGAAATAGAGCTACATGTTCGTAATGTGCACTCGAAGACTACACGAACGTCAAAATCACAGAAAAAAAAACAAACAAACAAATCACACTCGAATAAAATCCCCGCAGATGCACGTTTCGTCGTATTCTCCAAAAATCTCTGAACGCATCTCACGACTATACAAAGCTTGCGCACTGGATGCCGGTTGAGAGTCGACTGTCTCCAGCGGAGCGTTCACCTTCTCCTCGCTCACTCCCTCCCTCCCTCCCTCCCGCCCTCCCTCTCCACTCAATGGCGTGTGTTCACCCTCCCGCGACAAAAGGGCGCTTTCGCTTTTTACTACGCGCGCTCTGCAGTTTTTTTGCATCTTTTTTACGCGACACGAGAGGGTTGTGTTGTTCAAGGAGGCTGATTCGTTGTCTTAAGGTTATCGGGGGTGTTACTTTTTAAATTTTAAATAAAATAACAATTTATTGCCAAATTTCCACCGCAGAATAAAAAAAAGTAAACTGAGTAGACCGCGAGTACAGAAAATGTCTTTTTAGGAGGGCATGATGTTCTTTATTAAAGTAGAAGGGCGATTGGTTAAGACAGTAGAAAACACGAGGGGATTTGAATATTGCAATATCGACACATTAACCGCTTTGAACAATTTAGCTATGATTGTATTTTATAATACATTGCCACACGTAAACTTATCGCATTTTTTAGAATGAAACGTAACTCATTAAATTGTAGAAGGTGAAACGCCGACGAAAAAGATGTAATTTTTAATGAACGTGTAATGGGACTGATGAGACGTAGGCTCACAAGTGGAACCCGATGACAACGGAAGAAAAAACAAAGAAGACGAAGCATCTCGTCCGCAGAGAGACGATCGATGAATACGCGGGTAGCTGGAAAAAGGTACGGAACAAAAAGTAATCGACGAGTTTATAAGGCTTGGGCGATCGATCCATTGCCCATAATTGAAGAGAATCTCTACGCAGACTACTCCTTGGTACCATTTCCGAACGGATAAAAGAAGCAGATCAAAGTCACCCCGTATCGTTGATTGGTACTTTCGACTCGCTTATTTTCATGAGAAAGTACGCTTATGCTTGTGATTTTCTTGATGATTCGCTTGTGCATTAATAAATATAGGTTTGCACTTTTCGACGACGACTTTTTTGGTCTTTTTTGGTTGATTTTCCATTCTTGCGAGTGCGTGTGCAGTGAAAGCACTACTTAATCGATTCGAAAATTGTGGAAAGAGAAAGACGGTTATAGAGGAATATGGAAATTATATCGTGGCAAAACTAAACGTTTCCTTTTTCACTTATCTGATCGGTTATAAATATTACGTAGAAATCTCTCTTGACAATGTTTCATTTCATTTTAAAATGTGTCGCGATTTTATTGAAGTACAACGACGTTAAATGCTGCATAAAATTGGTATTAGATTTCAGAAGAAGAAAAAAGTTATTTCTCATGTTTAATTTATTGGACCATTCAACGATAAGCGTCCACGCTTGAGTCATCAACGGGACAAAAACTCGTACAACGAAACCGATAATCTAATGTGATTTCATGCATCGCGCTAAATCAACAAATACGCAAACGAACAATACCTCGCGAGGAGTCGTTTAATCGCAAGGTCGAAGCCAGCCTATAAGGGACAGCTTACATTTAATCAAAAGGCCATTAATCCGAAGATTACACACAAGTAGAAGCAGCCTATGCAACTCATAATGCGATCGGTCACAGTCTAAATGCGTTGCGACCGCGTTTCACATTTGAATTTCGACGACCGAACGGTACATTTTTTCCTCTTCTCCTTCCCCGCCGCCAAATTAGCCGCCAATTAATTTGTTCCGCGTTTGTCGACCGGCAATCCTTTCGCTTCCGCGCTTCTTGCGTCCAATGCAATTGGCGTGCGCTCTTTCGGTTCTAATGAAATTAAGATTGATCATTGCGGCGACTTGCAAGCCTTCCGTTAGCTTGCCGCCGCTGTCGTTAGTGAGGCTCTGCTACGCGTGAAGAAATTGTTGGCGATGACGAATTGAACTCGGCGCGGAGTAATCGACCGGACCTCGTCGCGGCTACGGATAATTTGCCCGGGTCGTTTAATTCTTCACTTCGACTTACATCCTCGATCAAATTGCAACTGACCGACTTAGTTCCACCGAGTGGATTTGGTTGAAAAAAAAAAAAAGAAAAAACATAAATCAATAAAACTGAAACGATTGATTTCCACACCAAATAATGTGCGCACATGCAGAACAAGGTTGCAGCTCCGCACGACAAAGGCGATTTTCCGCCTTCGAACGACGACACAAAACGGTCGCGCGCGCCGCGTCGACTTTCCAATGCGCACAATTCGCGGCACGCGCGCGTCCGCTCCGCGCCTCTCCGCGTGTTTGTGCCACATGCGGAGTCGATGGATCGCAACGGCTTCAATAGCTCTTTCGCCGCGAATGAAAGTTTGTTCAACGAACAGCATCCGCGTAATTAACGCATCGGGAGCTTTTAAATTGAAACGAGACGGCTGAAAGCTCGCGCGCGAGAAGTACATCGTTGCGCAAAAAATCTCGAGGAATCTTTCGCGCTCGTTAAATTGGACGATCGCGACTGAAAAAAGCATTCTCCGAATGGCTTTCCTCGGTTTTTATTTGCCTGGCGTTGATAAGGGTATATAGCGCAAATTAATTGAGAAGCACTCGTTAGCGTTGAGGACTGTGAAATTTATAAACCCCTCCATTTACGACGAAAACAATCAATTATAAACGCAAGTAACGAGCAGTCGCAGGGTTGCAATGGCTTTGCCATTTTCACAGGATCCCTCAAAATCATTCTGCCCTTAGTGAAATTGTTCATTAATACAAACCAAGACGAGTCGCTATACAGCTAATTTCCTTCTTTTATTCATCATACGTTGTTTTGATATTTAAGTTCAAGATTGTACGCGAGTTTGATGACAAGTTTAAATTAACCGAAACTCCGTTTCCAAAAATTGACGAACTTTTGAGCTTCTGACGTCTACATTTGGAAAATTTGCAAAAATTTCAATCAATCTTTCAAAGAGACAATTATCAGACGTCAGCTATGAGTTGCCTAATTTTATCCAAAGTATTTTTTTTTTATTTTTAGCGATGCATCAGAGCGAGCAGCTCGTCAAAATTGACTTGAGAATAAATCATCGCAACGCAACGTAAAAACATCGAGAATGTATCCTTGATATTGATCGCGCTAAAGAAAAAAGTACGTAACAGAGAAACTCTCTCATCTTTACGACAGCCGCTATTACCAGTAGCGCCAAAGAAAAACCTGTTACTCGAGTTTTTCTTTAAATAACGCAGTGGACGTCGATTAAACTCGAGCTTTCCCAAGATTTTTCCGACTGTACTTTCACTTGTGCCTCGACTCGTATTGATCGCACCGCATTGATTTTTTTTTTAAATTATTTTCCTGCTTTGGGTGTTGGTTCTCATGCGCAAATGCGTATGGGAAAGCTTCGCGTTGCCTTTATTTTGCACTTTCGCGTGTGATCGGGAGCTCCGTGTAAGGGAATTTCACGTATGTTTGTAAGTATGCCCAAGCGAAGCTTTACGTAACTTTGATTTATCATTTAGTAACATAACGACAGGGAAGTGTACGATTCGACTTACAGCAGTTAATCGACTACATTAAGAATAAATAATCTTTTGTCAAAAGTTAGAAAGGTCGAGGAATTTTTAATATAAATAATTATTTTGAATTTCTACTCTTTTCATGATAAAATAATTGGTATGAATCTGACACGGTGAATCCCTACAAACGTTCAGTCGTCGTGTCTCGTTAGATCTAGCAATACTGCTGTATTAACAGGTCTCTTTTGAAGACGTCGTTTGATGCTGTTTTCTTGGTGAAAGATACCCTAAGTAGGGTCGAATCCATATTTCATTACGTAAAGCAATTCACAAGAGTCTAATTTCGCTGTCCTCGTCAATCGAATAGAGTTCGAAACTCGCCACGTGACACGATTACACGCTAAATGAAAATAAAGTTAACTGGCAACTTCTAACTGGATTATAACACAACAAGCGTCTACGTCGACTGGTATTGTGAACAAAGACGTCGCTGCTATGTGCAGTGGAATACTTATACGGATTTATTGTCTTTCGTAAGTGATCGATGCTGAATTCAACAGGTTTAAAGTTACACGTTGACATGCCGGTCAAATCAACATTACTGCCGGTATAACAAATCACTTTAATGTGGAGTGACATTATCCGAAAGTAACCAAAATTTGATTTTTCGAGAGTGAGCGGTCGGTCTCTCTTCTACGAGTTTTACAAGAAAAAAATATTTCTACATTGCACGCACAAAAGCTTTCTCTGGTATATTATTAGTCATCGATGGGTTCTATTTCTGTGGATTCCTATACTAAACGTAGCAGATTTAACCGAGGAAATTGTAGGATTATAAAGCCACGTGAATCGTATTTTTTGCAAAATTCAAAAAATTTCGTACTTGAATTTTGAACTATCGGAATTTTCGTTCCAAGTATAATTAGCTAGTATACAAGAACAAAAAGTCATTAAATACTTGCGCACGTACACACTAATTATACCGTTCGAACGCTGCGCTGAATGTAAAACAAACAACATCACTTGAGATATCATGCGTAACCCTGAAATTAGAACGGATTTCATTTCGCGAGCAACAAAATAGTGTAAACACGTACAAAAAGTCTACGGATAAATAAATGCTACAAAGTTAAATTCCAACTTACGATTAATTCTCTCTCTCTCTCTCTTCGCGTAATAAAGTATAATGACCGGAATTAGAATCAATAAAAACAGGCGACCCAACCTTGACTGAGAAGGGTAGAGAACTGTACATTTATCGATTTTTCGATCTCACGCAACAACGAGCAGGCATATCATCCGCACCGACAGTTCATAAACAAACGAAAGCCGTTGACACTTTCACTCGCACCTACTATACATCAGACGAAAGAAAAGAAGCGGAAGGTAAACAAAAAAGAAAAGGGAAGAGTGAAGCAGCTGATCCCGCGCTTCCTGCGGAAGGGCCGTAGAAAGATAAAAAAATTGAGGTTAGCTCCGCTTTCGCGCCTGCGATTAGCCCTCAACGCGAGTCACTTCGCACGTAATCGAAACTGCGACTATTTTGACAAATGAAACGAGGGGAAGATGGGCGACAGTCAAAACAAAACAATTAAGCTCCGTTGTCGCAACGATCATTGTTACTGACGTTTATCAATGGGAGCATAAGCATTCGAATGTCGCAAAAAATACATTAACGATTTGTAAGTGTAATTCAAAGAGAAAATTTATATCGTCGTTGTCGAGTATCGAGCAGGTATAGCAGACAGAAATTGTGTATGGTGCAGGGTGGAGGAAGCTCAGAGCGCGCGCGCGCGTGTATATTTCATCGTCCCCTCACCCGGCAAAGACATCTTGATTTGTTTGAAAAGCGGCGATAATTGTCCAACAAAACCACTTACCGCCGACTGACTGTCTCTGGCGTGTGTGTCTGAGAGAGAGAGAAAAAATCTAGCAAACACACACTTTACAACACTTCACACCCACATGCGCGCCTCGAACAAGCCGTTGTGGTAGCTAGCATCGCCAAGGTAGTCACAGACTGACTGCTTACTGCAAGTAGAAGAGTGTGATTATGTTAGTGTCGATAACTGCCACGAGGCGACACCACCTATCACAAATCGATGCACCGTCACTGTCGGCACACGGTAATTCAGAGCCTGAGTTAAGGAATTATATATACAACATGAGAATAAGAGCTCTACTTATTTCTTTTTGAATATTTGAAAGGCTGACGCCAATCAATCGTTTGCATAACTCTTCTAGCCGGCGAATCTACCCGCAAATTTTTTGAAATATATTTAAACAATTTATAAACAATTTTTTTTCTATGAATGATGTATTTTCCAGTTTAATTCAATTTAATTAACTGGATAGCGGTGGCTCTTTTCCTGAGATGTCGATATGTCAATACGCAAGTGTGATTTTTGTATATATATGGTTTTAGATTCAGATGGAGAAAACCTTACTATAGATGGTGGTGGGTCTATGACTGAGACGCCGATAAGCCAATACCGAAGCATGAATTAGGTAGGAGAAAGCATATGCGCAGAATCTTGTGTAGTGAAATATTAGCGCAACTCTTTGAAAATTAAACTTGTTTACAAGCATCATCTCACCATAAATGTACATTCCTATAGTGTAGTTATTATGAAGAATTGTGTCAACATAAGTTTGAATCCAACGGTAAAAATCATAATGCTCAAGAATGTTCAATTAACAGAGATACTTTAGATGGACTAAGGATGGATAATTGCAGTAAAGTTATGATCGAACGATCTGCAATACGAATGAATTTGGGCCTAAAATAATGAAGAAACTCATTAAAAACTTCAGGATAAATTTGGTAATATTTGCATACTTATATAATTATCTATGAAGACAAGTTCTCGTACTTTAGAAGCCTCGAAGAACACCTGTAAACAATTTTTATCAAATTTCAAAGTAACAACAATGGCATTTATGAATAAATTCAATGAATTCGAAAATAAATTTCAGAAAAAAAAGTACTTGATTGTGTTCAAAAAATCCTGGAATTCGAAAATGACCCCATAGAAGCTCTTCCAATCGTAATTTTTATTTTTCAAGCGCATGTTTCATGTAGTCATGGAATGGATTACGTAGTTGGCCGTCTGACATAAGTATGACGAGCAAATCAACGTTAATGGAAGACTTGTCTCCGCGGAATACGACAGCAAAGACAGCACTGCAACATGAAAATACCTAAGCAACTGATCTTTACGATCATTTTAAGCCACGATTCATAACACGGTTACAGAAGCATCTTGTTCTCATCAATAAAATCTGAAAATTGAATGTAAGGTTATTTAATATCATTGAGAACGCGGTTGGGGATAACGTTCTGAACAGTAACTCGATTAAAGAAAGGTAGTTGTTCGAAGTTGGAGGCTTCGGCAATATGGATCATACGCCAATGTTAAATTAAAAATAATACATACAATGAATTATCTATTAAAGTACTAAACGAATGAGATAGTATCTCTGAAATCACGAACAAATTAAAAAAGTTTCAAAATCAATTGCATTGTTTATTTAATTTATGATGAATAAAAATACCATTTTTTATTAAATAATCCTAATACGAAATGATACAATTTGAATTAAAAATTGTCTATTGTCAAAATTACTGTCAAACATAACTATTTCTCCTGTCGCAGTTACCTGTAAAAATTCTTACCTGTAAAAAAATATGTCGATAGTCGATGAATTTCGTTCAACTGAAAATTTCGATCAACGTTAAAGAAAATAATTATTTAAAGTTTGTGCGTAACATTGCAAAATTTACGTTATTCCGTAATCAACTCTTAAAAAAATGTCACAATCTTGAAAATAAACCAAATAACGAATGAGAACTTCTTGCATAGAATCATGTGAAATAATTGAAAATAGATTATTATCTTAAAATTTTTATTTTGATGTCAAACATTTGTATTTCATTAGGATTTTTTTTATACATGAAACTGAATAAGTATTTTAGCAGATAGTTTTTACAATTTCTTCAAGCACGTTTGATACAAATTCACAAATCTTTATATTAAATATACACAAATCAAAAGAACAAACCATATACTTAATCATTAAAGTAAACATTGTTAACACACCATTCACTCTAAATTCAAGAAAAAAAAGATTTTGAATACACATATTATAACAATATTTTACATTATAAATGGGATGTCACAGAGAAAATGGCACAGCTGCTCGGTATTTGAGACATGTACCTACTTGACTAAATAAATAAATATATCAACAGAATGTGAGTATAAATAAGTTAACACAAAAAATACTGACAGCGAGATCATACTGGCACTAACATTCGCTTATGATATACATTATTTAAATACAATTCAATAATTTAAAAATGCTAACAAATACATCTATTTAAGGTTCGTTTTAATGAAATTGCATCAGTCTCGTAACGACCTATGAGTTCACTCACGAAAAAAATGCATACTCTCCCTGTATCATCGACAAAGGCAATTCATTTCACTAAGATTTCTCGACGATTGATTATCTTGTAAAAGGCCATACAAACACGAGGGGCCTTTAAAACATTCATTCGCAGGTATACATTTTTTGCTTGATTATTATAAGAAAAAAATGAATAGAAGAACAGTATTTTTGGACATCAATTGTCGTCCTCAGCACTTTTACCACTTACTAATTATCTATTAAGAAACCATGTGTTTTCTAACGTTTGTCACACAATATTTCCAAGCTTAACAATTTGTGTGTAATTCTACGCCATTCAATTCCAGTCATTGTTTTGTATTTCAGTCGCTGCCTTTAGAAAAAAAAATACAGATAGGAAGTTCTCACTTGACAACTGTTGGATAACAAGTTTTATTTCTTCAGAGTTATCACGCGTTATCCCTGGAAAAACTTGGATTGAAGTCTTAAAAGCTTAACTTTCATTGTGAGATTCTATAATCAATTTAGAATGTTTGTGCGTTGCGGCAAATACCACAACCAAGTGCAAATTCCTCTCCAGTCGGGGGATGTTTGACGTGAAGTGGACACTCGTCCCCTTCCAATTGCTTTGCTTTTGGTCCTGTAAATAAAAAAGCTAATTTAGTCACTCATAGATAGATGAAATGTACTAATAATAATAAAAAAAGAGCAAGTATACCGGCAGGGCAGGTAGGTAGCTCATTTTTGGGTATATTAGTAACCCTTTGAAAATCATCATGACAAGGCTTGCAGAAATGCGTAGTGCCAAAGCAGAAGAATACCGCAACAGAACAGCAGTAACGGCACTTGTACTCAAGAAAGTCAGTGCCGTGTTTGGGACACATCTGTGCACGTGCAACGTCGCTGCAACCGCCGCAAACAAGTTCAGTGGGATCGAATGCTTCGCCCGCTGGTTGCACATCACAGCGAGCCTCGCCTCCGTAATAGGCCTTTTGACACTTGTAACACACGTAATAGGCATAGCGGTCCATCGCGTAAGTAGCTGGATCCTGATAGTAACGACCGCCAGGTGTTGTCACTGCCTCCGCTCTAAAAAATCATTTCATTATTTATGTAAATAATCTAAAGTGATATCTATAACAGTCAAGGTAAGTAATGACTTACTTATGCAAGCCTTCGTATTCGAGTCTCATCAATGCTTTTCTCTTCACATCCTCGTACAGTACCTTGACGCTAGTTAAATGTTCCGTTAAATTTTGATTATCCATAGGCACCTTACAGATCGGGCATAGTGAGAAACTAAAGGTGATCCTCGGGCCAACCCACTTCTTCGTAAGCACCATTCTGCAGCAGTGAAGGTGAAAAACGTGGCCGCATTGCAGTTGAATTGCAGGTGCGCACGACAGAGCCTCGGTGAAACAAATCATGCACATGTCGTCAGCGTCTTGTTTCAGATCGCAAGATGGTACACAGCGATGCAAACATGGTAGACAAGGTCGTTCGTCTCGTACACCCCCACAAATATGACCACAGAGGTGAACTTTACTACAAGCGTTTTTTGCATGCTCTTGACATTCGTGATCCGAACAAACGTTGCCGATCGCCAACAGACCCGAGTTACCTATGAGAAGAAACACTTCATCTTAATAAAGTTCATTTATTGAAATAAATGATTTTGATCTCTCATACCTGTAGTTCCACAAAATCGACAAACACCTGACGACGCGCCAACAGGTTTCTGCGGCGGTCCATCGCGAAACTCTACCAAAGCTTTGAGCGTTTGACTATCCGCCAAAGCAAGAATCCAAAACAGTTTCATTCTACCACACCCTTCGTGAAGATCCACGCGAATAGCTTCTTCTTCTTCTTTACATACTTGCCGAATGTGCATTCGAGTCTTGCGGTGGAGATGCAAAACTCGATCACAGTCAGCACACAAGTTTCCACAAATACTGCACTGGATTATCGCTGTGGTCTCACCATCGTCATGGTTGCTACACATTGGCTGTAATAAGAAGAAAACGTTATTTTTGCGATTATGATAACACAACTAGGTACACAGAAATGAAATAAAAATTTACCCTTGGCGGTGGCGGTTGACCGTCAGCGCTACTCCACTGACCAGAGGATAATCTTTCAACGTGGTCTGAATCTAGAACGCAAAGAGATGACAAAGCTAACCACAAGGTAGGCGATCGAAGACACTTAGTTGGGTCTCGATTTTTGTCTTCTACTCTCGTCAGATTTAAAATGTTTTCTGCGATCGCTGCTTTAGTTATAGCTGCCCAAATGTCTGATAGTTTACCCTATAAAAATTAAAAGTTCCATATTCTGCCTACATACGTTTCCAGATAAAAAAATCTTACCGAAGCCATATCTTTCAACAATTGGATAATCTCTTCAGCTAGTTTTCTCGAGATGCAGCCTCTCAACCACCACCTTGCTCCAACTTGACTCTTCGGGTGTATACTTGTCGCTAGCGAAATTGACTGCAGTGCCTTGCCATTATTCTCCTTATCTTTAACTTTAACTTGTACAGTCAAAGACTTGGCAATGCAACTCAAGAAAACATCTAGAATACCAACATCATGCTCGTCAAATTCAGTCAAGTGCAAATATGCACTACTTGCAGCAGAGATTATACTGAAATCTGTCGGTGGTAGTCTCTCTGCTCCAACAACACTTGCTAAAACTTCCGGTTTGATTTCAGGTAAGATTCTTCTGAGCAGTGAAGTCACTTGTCTCTGAACTCTAGCAGACCCCGTGTGTAGCAAACTTAAAATATCTTTTAATAACGGAGACTGATGAGACAAATAATTTCGTCCAACGGAACTTCCACTTAATGCCAAAACCATTGACAACATCTCGAAGCAATATGTGTCAGCAGCCTTAGGTAGATCGCTGTTATCACTCGTAACGCTGTTGACTGGAGTTGGCGAGCATAAAAGTGTTTCCCATTCTTCACGTAGTCGAATTGTTTCTTTACGAATGGCTTGTACAATGTGTGCACAAACTTGTTTTTGCAGGTGAGTGAGCTTACTTCTGCTGAAAAGAATGCCAACCATGTGCTCTCGTAACTCGTTGCTTTCTTCTAGTTCTTCGTGATTTGGCTCAATGACTAACGAGGATATTGGTCCTGATTTTTGCTGTTCGCCTTGAATCAACTTTCCGAATACCTGCAACAAAAACATTTTTTTTTGCTTTACAAATCAAATAATATGTCAACTTTATATTAGATACTTTACCTGTGAAGTTATTGAACGAAAGACTTTCAATGTTTCTGCTTCACAATTTTTCTGCTGAATAGCTACAGCGCTGAGAGACTTTCCGATCTTAACAGGTTCACCATCTATATCTCCTAACACGCGAATCTGTCTGACTCTCAGCGAATTATCAGGCCCTTTCAATTCAAGACCAATCACAGCATGGCGAGGATGTATTACTGAACAATTTACCCAACCAGTCGATCGACTTTCTATTTCAACAGTTTTCAATTTCACCATCTCGTCGGCATCCATACCGGATTGGAATGTAACGCTCGACACTTTATGCTGAAATTACAATACAATTTTCTCAATTTAAGATGAATTGTCTAATGTATAAGTAAAGAAAAATTGGGCTTACAGTCAGATCACGACAGTTATCAATATGGATATAAACCATTTTTGGGAAAGTATGTGCTCCACAAATTATCGTGATTGTCTTTGTCTTATCTCTATCCTCATCGCCAGATTCCCAAAAGGTTTCAGTCGAATTATCTGTCAGACTGGTAATCATTGCCTGTCTACTTGATGTTTTAATTTCAACTCCAAGAGTCAAATCTCGAAGAGTCTCGACTGTATTCAAGAACTGTTGTCCGGATAAGTTCGACTGATGACTCTTGTGCATGCTTAATGCCGCATCTTCTTCCTCTTCCGAACGAGACAAAATCTTGCTGATATTACTGAAAACATGACTGCGGTGTAAAAACATATGATCAGCAGGTGTAAATTGAATCGCCCAGCAGCGCACAGCTGCTTGTTGCAGTGGTGAACCTGAAATACAATTAATTACGTTAGTGAGTAAAATGAAATTATAACGATTTTTCCATGAATCCTTTTATTTATTAGCTTCATTATACCAACAATAAATTACGTTTATCAAATTTCATAATTAATACAGTTTAGAATTTTGATTTTTTTAATTTACCAGGTGGCAGTAAAAGCATCAAATCTGAAATAGTTTGCAGCAGCGTATGAAACGCTGTAGGCAAAGGATGAGCAGCTTCACCAGCAATAATAAGGTCATTTAAAGGATGTTCGCACATTCCAACCATATCCTGGAAACATAAATTATTTGTATAACATAATTTTCTTAATAATAGTAATAAATTATATATATATATATATATATATATATATATATATATAAAATTATTATTGTGTGTGTATATCCACTATAATAAATTATATACAATATGTATTAATGAATACTTAATAATAATACTCCTAGTCTGAAAATGAAAATTTACTGACGTGATCTTTCCTCTTCTCAAAACATCTTTTTCTATTATCATCCTCATTAACGTCCATCGGATCAGGAATTATCGGTGTCAAAGAATTAACAAACCACCATAATAAATCATGCAAACAAATCGGCTGAGTGACGGTTCTCAATAACCAATTGAGCGCTTGCATCGCGTACACTCGACATGCGGCGCGCCTAAGTGCCTGCTTCATCGCGTACTGCATGTGCTGGAGGTTGTGCTGCCGCAGAACGAAAAGCATAACCGGTCGCATGAATAATTCTATTCGGTCGCTGTTTATCATCTCTACTTGTTGATTTTCTGATACTATCGCCGATTGATCCATCGAAGGTACGAGCTTCTGTAAAGCTGCTGATGGATAGCAGAGCAGTGATGAACCTGCGTCTAAATAGCGAGAATCGTTAGTTTTAGATCATTTGTTTTTCAAGATGATTTATCAAATCTCTCATACCATTGTTAGGTTCACTGCTACTATTGTTTCTTTTGCGCATCATAACGACCCGACCGTCCTGCATATTTTTGGCCCATGGTGCACCAGTTGACATCGATACAGACCGATGAAACATGCCTCGATTTTTACCGCTGTCGCTGTCACTGTCACTCATTTGGCACTCTGATAAAGGCTGTAAATAAGTAACACATGTTATTAAAAACAAAAGTTTAAAAAGCTACGCACATAAAACAAAAATTGTTTTATATTGTATTCAGTACGATCTTCAAAAATGAAATATGTTCTTTACAATAGTGACACAAGAAAGATAAACATTGATAACAAAAACTACAATCAAATGAATAATGAAGACATACACTCATGCGAACAACACCAATGAAGTAAATGTCGAAACTAACCCTTTTGTTACTTACGGTTAACCCATTATTACTGCCATCATGCGAGTTCTGTTGACCTTGTCGTCGGAACGATTCTTCGTACAATCTCTCATCATTACTCTGTGAACTCTGTACCCCCAACGAAAGCAAACATTGGAATGGTCCAGTTGATGGAAACGGTCCTGCAGCTTCTGGAGGACTGTAATTCTCAGCAACGGCTGTGAGAGTCTGAGATGGTCGTCGTTGCTGTTTTGGAATGGTAACTCCAGCCGCGCTCGCCAATTCCAGAAGAAACATCGAATTATTCTTAATGATTATATGTGTCTCATCGATATCTGGTGACGTCAGTGGTGACATATGTTTGTTAAGCTCTCCTACGCTGCGTCTGTATCTCTTATTCTTTTTTGCCTGTTGAACAAAATGCATCATTGATATTCTGCTTCTTAATTTCATACAGTACGAAGATCTAAAGTTAATGCTAAGAGTCGAGTCGATGCCATTAGAAATCGCACAAAGACATAAAACTTGTGTTTTTAAAAAATGCAATTGTGCATTGAGTAAAAATAAAGAGCAACGGTCGGTAAAGAGGCAGCGACAAGACGATTGAAACAAATCAACCAACCTTCAGATACTTATCACGGCAAGTATCGCACAACAGGTACCACGAGCTACCGCCGCCGCCCCCGTCGCCGCAATTCCCAGCCCAGCCAACGCAATAATTGCCACTGCTGTTGTAGCCATTACCCCCGGCATGCCATCCACATCCCGGATGCATCAGTTTCATATGATACGTTACGGGATGAGGAAACATCAATCCACACAACTCGCAAGTTGTTTCTCGCTCGATGCCTGCACCGTCGCTGGTTACCGGAATCTTTGCAGTTGGTTTCCATTCTTTGCGCTCTTTAGATATCTTTTTGTCGCGTTTATCTCCCAAATTGTTCTCTTTCACGTTCGACTGGGGCGTCTTCGTTGGCGTGTCTGGTACAATCCGCTTCGACGGCTTGACAGTTGGCACTTGATTTATCGGACTTGGTAGGACGGTTTGCTGATCGATCGCGTGGAGAACATTTTGACGCAGCTCCTCCCACAAGAATACTAGACATTTCAAAGCTGGAGGCAAGACTGTCACCGTTGTAAACTCCGGCAAGGCTGTCAGTTTGTTAACTGTAAAACGAAGTACGATCAACGACAATCATTCTCAAAATAAGAAACAATAAAAAATCGTTGAAAAAAATATCGATAACCAACCTGTCTCATCCGTGCCGTTAGTATTCACCTTCTTTCTGTTTCTATTCGCATTGGCATTGGCCGCCGATCTGGTCAAGCTTTCTAGAGTACTCGGCTGAATGTGAAGGTAACTTCCATCGTTGGTCACTTCTACCGAATGCCTCTGCCTCGCACGTTCCTCGCGAGTCATCTCTTGTCTCTTCTTCTCGCTGTTGTCGCCTGATGGCTGTCTCGTCACCACCATGGCGCCTTGTTTCGATAGGTTCGGATGGAATTTGAGAAAGCTCGCGCAAGCCATTGCGTCGTGAACTATACCCTCGTGCCAGAGAAATGCCGCGAACACTGCTCGCAAGCATTCGGCTACCGATGGGCTCACTGCTTTCTTCACCTGTGAATATCATTGTTGATCAAATCGCAATCTTGATTGTTATTTGAAAAATTACCGCGTATTGTTTACCTTTTCTCTCTTAAGATTCAGAGTAGTGCGACTAGGACTCGGCATCTCTTGGCTAGCAGCAGGTGACATCGCGCGCTTTGCTCTAGTTTTCGTCACTTTCGCGTAATCGCGACGGCAGTATTTGGGCGCGTGTCGGTCCTCTTTGTTGGTCAAATCAATCGGGAAATGGCCTTTCATCGCCGTTGTGGCGCTTTCGGGGCTCGTTTGCGTTTGGGCTTCGGACACCTTTTTCAACGCGTCTTGCGAGTCCTAGAAAACAAACGCGATGGAGGATTCGGCGTACCGCTCGATAAATTTTGAAACGAAGAAAAAGTTCGTTACCTGAGTAACGGAAGCACTGTTGTCTTTTTTGGATGTCTCAGTGGGACTCAGAACCTCCTCGGACTTCATGTGTAACGAGCTGCAACTTGGACTTGGCGAGAGGTCCCTAGTGGTGTTAGCCATTGAACTGACCCCGCTGGGAGATTGCGATGGATCGCGAGTTAGACTGCTCACCAGTGCGCTCGTGTCGCTTTGCGTCGAACCACGACGATGTGATGTGGCACTGTCTAACATTCCTCCTGATACTAATTGGAAACATTTCTTCTGTGAGTGTTACGATTTCGAGAAGCTGTCTTAGTAATAAAGTACGTTCTTCAAACTTGTTAGACATTATTGCGTAAGTCAAATACTTATCATTTTTTAACTGAGTGTGTGGAATTTGGCGTATCACACTAAATTTTCATGAGATTTACAAAAAATTTTCCAATTTACGATTCGACTTATAAATACACTACACATTTAAGACATTTTTTCTAAAGAGAAAGTATGTATATCATGCATTTCATTACACCAGATCATGTTCCTGTGTGATCTATACATTTATTATGATGTTGCATTCAATTTCTATAATCTATGTTGTGCAGTGTGATTCTATTGCAATTATTTATCTTACTTTATTGTCTCATAAAATAACTCAGAAGGATCTTATTAAAAAATTACTTTTACACATCACTATCTATATACAATCAGTAACATACTAATTAAAACCTCCTATTGATCGATTATTTATTAAACAGTTAACTGTATGAGTTAACAAGAAAATTAACAGAATGGTATTTTGAGGTGTGATTTATAATAAGTACCCAATATTTGGTTGAATAATTATTTTTATTTAGAGCTTACCTAGAGGTGAAATCCCAATACTTCGGGGGGAGCCATGAAGCAGTGGGCTGCTGCCAGCACTGTCTCCCCCTCCAGCGATATTTTTTCCACCTATCAATGTGTCGTTAAATTCGAGTATACATTCATCGTGTAGCATTCATATAGAACGTTGAAAAAATGTTTAAAAAATCATGAATTGTGCTTTGTAATATTGAAACGTTGGTGTGCAAATGGAATAGTTGTAGTGATGAATAATTGTATATGTAATCAGTATTAACATTTTTCATGCAATGTGTAATGAAATACTCAAATGCGACACTATTATTAAATACATATCAAGATTTTCCATGAGCACTATTTACAATTCAAATCTTGTTAAGATATTGATCTAATAATGAAGTGGTGATATAAAATATTATAATATATGTGATAAACCAACGTCAAGCAACAACATATTACGTTTGCGTTGAAATGTTAGAGAAGCAATGAAAGGATACCTTGAGCATTAGCAGCAATTGGGAAAAGACCAGAACCAAACGGCAAGCGACTGGAGCCAGCTAAGACCATCACCATTCATTTATTAAAGTAGATTATTAAAAGTTGTTTTTTGAAATGGAAAGTATATAGTTTATATGAAGCGTGACAATTTTCGAAGAAATATGAGTCGTCGAGGAAAAAAAGATTCGAATGAGTAATAAAATAAGCATATCAAATTAATTCTTGGCCGTGATATTACTATACTAGAATAAAGACCAAATCAAACACATATAGATACTCAAAAAACTCAACGCGAAAATAGTGGTTTGGGCGCAAAATTAAGAAGTAGGTTGGATTCACGCAACAACAAAAAAAGACAAGACAGTCGAGAAAATCTTTCTAACGAACAAAACTATTATTATTATACGCTACACCGAAGATTTATACTTACCGGGTATCGGGACAGGGCTAGAAGATCTGCTGGTCAGTCGCGGCGAACCAGCTTGTGGATTCTTTGGTGACGAGCTGCGTGACATCTTACGTGGTGTTTCCGGTGGCGTCGATCCGTTACCGTTGACTCGACTTTCTCCCATAGCTTTCACAAGCTCTTTCACCGATACACCAACGAACTCCGAAAAATCCCTGCTCGTCGAATAATGAATCATTCAGTATTCATCTTAAGTATAAAAATGTTTGATAAACTTACCTGCCAGGCGAGCATTTTTTCTCTCCGTCACCTTTCTTATCGTCACCTCGAAGCCACTTCTGCAGTACACTGAACTTGCTACTTCCACTTTCGCGTTCTTTACTCGACTTTTTCTCCAAATGACTTTTGCCGATCTTTGCAGACGGTTCGGTCGTTTTGTCCGTAGACACCTGTTTATCACTACTAGCTTGTGAATCTTGTTTGAGACCACCGTAGGTACCGAAAAGAAATGAACTGTTTGGTCCATCACCAGAACCGGCACTTTTTGGTGGAGGAGGTGTGTGATTCGGAAGTGAATGCATTCTGTTCAATGCGTCGTTCTCTTGGCTGCTCGATGCCACGACTGGCGTTTGAGCGTCATCCTTGTGATTAGTTATTTGACCCTAAAGTGTAATCACAAGAAATCAATGAAGGAAATTACGATTGAGGGTGTAAAAATGTACCCGAGGGACCAACAAACCTCGCTCGTATCATTAATAGTTGGCTTCTTCTCCATCGACTCCTCTTCGGGATCAGGCACAATTTTCATGTAAGCTGCGCCGTGTTTATTAACGGCAAGCGACCAGAATTCACCGATATTGTTAAAGCTGTATTTCTCAGCTGACTCATCGTCTATCCTAACCCACGTTCCATATCTGTTGGTAAACTACGCCGTCGGAAAAAAGAAATAAGTATTCCAGAAATGATGAACCTCAATGCTCGAGTGTACTTACATAATCTTGTATGGTGACGGTATTGCCAATCGCGAGCATCCCAACAGCCGTAGCTTTGAGGCTCGGTCTGCATCTGATGTTGTGACCTGATGCGCCGCAAGTGACCACCGCCATTGTTTTGCCGCTATCAAACGTCACTGTTTTTCGTTTGCTAGAAAAAGACGCGATCCTCGTGGAAAAGTACGCGCTTAATCAACGGCCAACGAGAATCGAAAATTACATTTGGTACTTACTCTTCGTTCGAGTCCTTTTTACCAAGAAGCACCTCCCGGCCGTGACATGCATTGGACGATGATTTTTGTTCCTCGACTGGCAGTAACAAGTTTTTGCCCAAGTGTTGATTGTACTGCAAGCACCATGCCTCCAAGTGGCCGCTACTACAGTACTTGGTGATCGTATCGACGTTCAATCTTAGCCACACGCCGTCGTCGTTGTGGATCTTTGTAAATGGCCAAATTGATTTTCGTCATTAACTTTTCAACAGCGCGTATAGGATTCGAAAGCGCGATCGGACGATTTGGTGTACCTCGTCGCAAAATACGATGGTGTTGTTAACCGGTATAACGCCGATTTGTTTGCTCTGAAGGGACGGATGAGCTCTGATCCTCAAGCCAGCACTGTTCCTGGCGACGAATTTTCGTACTCTACTCGGCACATGCGTCGGTTTCTTGACGATATTCATCGCCGGCATTTCCATGCCCTGAGGCGGTCGTTTTACTTCGACTTTATAATTCTGCCACCAAACGATCGAGAAAAAAAAACATGAAAATGAAATCCAATCGATTCCGTCTACGATTACGTCTAAAGGTTAAATACTCACATTCTCCATATCATAGCCATCGATATTGACGTGTATGGAGTACCATCCGACCGAGAATGGCGTCCAAGTAACCCTGTAGGTTCCATCCTGGTTAGGTAGAACCGTCATACTCTCGCTGGAACGCTTGAGCGCCGACGAGGTGAATCTCAACTCCTCGAACGAGTAGTTGCGATAAGCCTTCATGATGGTTATCGCGTGAAAGCTGACTTTGTACGGCTCGTCCAGCACTGTCATTTCGTACGGCGTCTCGAGGGTTGGTTGCGGATGACCGCCGAACGTCAGAGGATCCAGCTGTTGAGTCTTCGGACGCACGCGTTTGCTGGTTTCCGAGTCGGTCACCTCGCGCTTGTCGATCGGCACTGCTTTCGCTTCGATCTGCGCCAGATTACGCCAATGAACAATCGACTCGCGCTCAAGAGCCGAAGATCTACCGAGCGAAAGATACCTTAAGATTAGGCGCGTGCACGAGCTCGCCGTACTGATCCCTGGTGATGAGATTGACGACAGCGGGCCATCCGTAGCGCATCTCCTCGCGAGCGTACGACAGCTCGCACTTGCTCGGGTCGACGTAACTGTCCGGCTGCAGCCACCTCGCCAGGCGACCTCCGCTGGTGCCCGGCGCGCACGAGACCAGATCTCGCAGGAACAGGCGCTCGTTCGACGCACAGCTGTGAACCGCAATCGTTGTTCGTTTACTGCGTGAGTTATACTCTCTTTCTCGTACGGTTATTCGCTACAGATTAATTAGCACTCTTCTCACGCGCCACAATGCGGGTAAAGGCTGGCAATCAATTTTATCGGCAGACACGATAAAAACAATTACTCCGCGCTGTTTTCTTGTTTTTTAATAATAATTGAGCTTGGTAACTCTTTCCGTCGCGGCCCGACCTACGTTACGCGAAAGCTTCGAAGAGAACGAGGCGCGAGAAAAAGAGCGCCGATTGGCGCGCTCGCCTTAATTGGGCACACGGCGTCTGAATCTCTTATCGGCCTTTTAGCTCTCCTTTCTGCGTCTGGTCGCGTCGAGTCGAGAAAGTTAAAAGGCCTCCTATCCCCTAATAAGGCGGCAACTATACTTGACCGCGAGCGAGCGTCTTTCTTTCTGCACCTAACGCTTATATATATATGTGTGTGTGTGTGTATAAACGGTGTACGTGAGCTCCGAGCTTCGAGTTCGCGCGCGCCGCTCGTGCATTATTCTGCTGACGTCTTCGGGTAAACGTTGTTGGGCTTTATAGCCGCTCGCCCTGTTTTATACCATTTCTTTTACTGCGCGTCTATGGTTGGTAATATGCGAATTAGGAAAAATTGTTTTCGCTCGCTAGTTTCGGTTTTGTATTCCGAACGTGCGACATTTCCGTCGTGGACGAAGCGCACGATTTTGCGTCAAACGTCCGTTCTCGCAAAGCGTCTAATCCATCGCCCGAGGCAAAACGAAAAGAAAAAAAAAATTCCCATCGAGCGTTTTCCTCGTACCGTCCGTCAGTAAACAGAAAACATCGTCAATGGGAGCATCGAGGCATCTGATTATCGGAAACGAAGATAGGCGAGTGGCGATGCGAGCCAACTTACTCGCCGTTGCCGCTCGGCTCGCACATGGCAGGCACGTGCTGCTGGCCGCGCAGGTAAACGCCAAAGGCTCCCGTGTATATATGCGGGCTCACGGGCGATCTTGCAGCGGCACGTGGCTGGTAGACGATGGGAAAACCGACTCGCGGAGGGTGCGCGTCCACGTCCACTACGGTCGTGCACGGCAATCAACTTTTTTTTTTTCGTACTTCGGCGCTGTTTTCGGTAAGGCAGACGTGCGTGCGTATCGGGTCGCGTCTGGGAAAAGGGTGGAATTGGTCGGTATGCGGGGCGAGCCCATCGATGCATCCGCCACCCCCGGATCGATCATCCTCGCTGCCGCGGCTGATCGAGAGCAAAGCCACGTTTGACGCGCAGAGATACGAGCCAAGATACGAAGATACGAAGGCCTCTCCATTGGACATCGGAGTGTCTCGAGCAGACTGCCGAAGCGCGCATCTTCGTCGTTAAGCGCGACAGGAAGCCGGCAAATTGCTCGTCTCCAAAAGTGACGACGCAGCGAGCCGAGCCGACCACGGAGGAAGAGAAATCGAACGGAACGCTCGGCGCGCTGCGCCCCAAGACTGCGCTGCGGCCTCTTCGAGTCGCTCCTCGTCGCCCACGAGTAGCGCGTAATTAAAGCAACGCCCGCGCCGGTGAAATTGCCCCGGCAGTCGGCGCCACGAGACCGTTCCTGACGCTCTTCCATAGACGTCGCGACCACGACTATAACGAGCGAAGCCACCGTCGGCGTGCAATTGTCCTCCCGCGATCCGCGCCTAGTCGCGGCTTACGGGAGACTTGCGGTGCCGCTTGCGGATCGCTCGACCAGTCTCGCTAACGAGTGCTCCAAGACACTGGAACGCGCCGAATCGGCGAGCGCAGGCCAGATCACGCACGCCCGGTTGAGTGGTGAAAATCCGTTAGCCCGCACGTACCAAATGGGCGATAAAGGCGGCGGGGGGGGGGGGCAGACAAACAAAAATCATTCGAGACCTGTCTGGACCTGCAGCCGGTCGCACGAGATGCAGCTACGACGCGAGGATCTTTAAACGCCCGAAACGTAGCTGGGAAAACTTTTTTCCGACTGCCGCGTCAAGAAAAGTGGGGGGAGAGGGAGAGAGAGAGAGAGAGAGAGAGTGAGCGCGCGCTGGGTGTGAAGGTCGCGCGCCTCGCCGATTGTAAACACGTGCATTCTTCTCTCCGTATTGCAGCCGCTCGACCAGATCGCGTCGCGCGCGCCTCGAAGAAAAAAAAACAAAAAAAAATACTCGTTCGACAATTGTCGAGTCGCCGATGACGGAGACCGCGAGCATGCGATAACGCAGTCACAGGCTTTCGAAAGTTTAGTCAAGAACATTATCGTGCAGATAAGACCGACGCAGAAGCATATGACACATTCCGTTAGGGGGAAGAGAAAATGCACGCGTCGCCCCCGTTGCCGTCGCGCACTTACAGCGTCTTCGGCAAACACGGCCCAAAAAAAAAAAAAAAGACAAGCCTGCTCCGACTCCCGACTGCTCGGCTTGGGCGCGCGCGAGTATGTAACCGCCTTCGTAGATCCCGTGAAAAGGCAGCGCGCACGCGAGAGAGAGAGAGAGAGAGAGAGAGAGAGCGGAGGGAGAGACCAGCAACAAGCCGTGGCCGCGCGGAAGAGTAGGGGAGCCGCCGCGGACGAAAAACTGGCTTGGTTTGTTACACACGGCGCGGGACTGTCAGTAGTAGTGCCGATGCGGCAGCCGCAGCCGCCGCCGTCGTCAGCCGCAGCGCTCCTCCTGCGCAGTAGATCGCTCATTATGCCTGCGCCCCGCGAGTGAGAATAGCGAGAGAGAGCGAGAGCAAGCGAGAGCAAGCGAGAGGATTGCTTTTGCGCGTTATCGTATAGCGAGAGTGCGATCGCGATGAAGAGCTTCGCTGTGCGTGTGTCGCTGGCCTACGTGTGCGCGTTCGCACTGCTGTGCTTTGCCGAGGAGCAGCAGGAGCCGGGCCAGCAGTACCCGAAGCACGTCGGTATCTGCGCGATGGACGGTTGCAACTGCACCGTCAAGGCGCATCACTGGGTCTTCGTTAGATGCGTGTTCGCCGACTACCAGGTGAGACATCGAATTCGCCTCTCGCTCGCTCGAACAAAGAATCGAAAGCGGCAAGGGGGCGCAGATCGTCGTCGTCGCCCCCCCCCCCCCAATTTTGCATTGTTTTTTACGCGGGTTAGCTTGCACTTCTAGGCGGATCGAGAGACAGCAATTTCCGCAGCACAATCGTTGACAACGAGCATTCGGTTGGAAGATTAGGTCTTCTCGCGCCTCTGTCGCCCGACGAACGTCTTTGTCGGCTTCTTTCGCTCGGAAACAATTCTGTCACATGGAAATTTCACTAAATCGACGCGCGCAGAACAAAAAGAAGCAGAGAGCGAGTCGTGTCGCTCTCGTACGCTCGTACGACGCGTCAGCTGGAATGCACAATGAGCTTCGACTCATCTGACACACGCGAGGCATATGTGTAAGTCGATGGAAAAAAAAACACGGAAAACAACGACTTCTACCGGCATTCGGCTTGTCAAGTACAATTAGCACGAACAAAACGAGATAACGATAAAGCAAACTTGTGGCACAGGGCTGACGCTGCGCGAAGAAGAAAGAACGAAGCGGAACAATGGATTACATCGCGAGAGCGACATCAGGTCGAGAGTAATGTCGAGCGCGCTTGAGCGAGAAAGTGGAGCGAGCGTATGTGAAGTGGGGGTCTCGGCGAAATTTATTTCTGAAAAAAAAAAAGAAAAAAAAAAAAAAAATGAGGTGCTCAAAACCTTCTAACTGGTCTCGCATCACAACACCATCCGTCGCCGTCTGTTTAAATACCCAAGGATCGTCGCGTCAAAGAAATATGTTGAATGGGCTGCGCCTATAAGCAGGTATAGAAGTTCTTAGTCTCGAGGCTAGCAGGTTTTATTATAGCTTGTTTTTACTTTCACAACGATTATTATTTCACTCTCGCGGAGGAGTTTTCTCTCCCTCTCTCTCTCTTTCTTCTCCTTCTGCTTCTGCGGCGGCTCGCGTATCGCGCCGATTTCTCGTTTCGCTCGAAACTGCGGACGACGGCTTCGATGAGAATGATCTAAAAATAAAAATACACGTCCCGATGCGCACACGTGCGTCGCGGGCGAGCAACAGTTCTCGTTCCACTTGCTGCGCTCGGTTGGATTTCATTCCCTCTGTGTGTGCGTAATCGATGTCGGCCTTTTTTCCCAGGACGGGAGAACAGGTTCGATCCCTATATATACACCCTGTAAATCCGTCACGGCTACCGAATTTTTTTTTCCAGGAGGGGGGAGGAACAGTTCAGTATAGCATTACCGATTATCGGAGGTGGTCGTCATTCGAAAAAGAAGCGACGAGAAGAGTGTTACTAAGACTTCTTAGTCAGTGCTTCTCTTGCTTCATTTTTTTTTTATTAGGGGAGACGCACTTGCGCTTTTCGTAGGTAAGCGGCGGCGTTGCTTTAGTTCGAATGGAAATTTCACTCCGAACACACGAATGGCTTTTGCTTTGTTTCTCTCTAATCGGCTAGCGGAATGTGAATCAGACGGTGACGTCAGTTCAGCCTCAGCTGCGTTTCACGCAGTTCGATTCCATGTTCTCCGCGACAAGAATCCACGATGGCAATCTACGGGGCCGCGCGACAAGAGGAAATCAATAAGCGCGGACAGCGTGAAAAATTCAGCGCCGCGTGGTACCCGCGCGAGCAGTGCCGAGCTCTCGGCAAAGCAAGGTACGCGGGTCACGAGGGAAGGCCGAGGCACGAATCGACATCGTCAAGAGTCCCGTCGATATCGAAAAAAGTGAGTTCGATATAGGCGCGTAGCGAGGTGAGAGCCACTGGCGCGCGATGCGCGCGTGCGAGAGTCAACGACTCGGACGGTCCAAGAGCACATGCGCGGGTGTGCGCGCGCGATTACCAACCGAAGTCTAGACGTACGCTCGCTCTTATGAGGCGATCGTCTATTTTTCTTTTTTCAGACTCCGGCTGCGTTGTCGTCTGAGAGAGCGCACGACGATCGGTTCTACATCTGCGTCTCGTGCGCGAGGTCAACTATACGTCGAAAGTCAATTGCGCAACGAAGCCCTTTTGACGTTGCTTTCAACGTTCGTTGCGCGCGCGATCGATGAATTGACTTTTCATTCGCCGGTAGCTGTATATTCAGCGCGCGCGTCGGCTGACGTTTGTTGACTTTTCAGCGACGCGGGGCTAACTGTTTGCTTGGTTATTTTGCGTTCAATTAGCCTACTGCCAAGCGACTAATGCGCTCTTAATGCGCAGCTGATGAACTTGCATTCCTATCGCACGGACGATTTGCTGACATGCATATTTATAGATTAAAAAGAGAAAACGCGGTGCATTAACAGTGGCACATTTGCTTTGTTAGAAAGACTACGCTGCAATCGTAAGTTACGGATAGATACAGATCGGAAAAATCAAGCACCAGTGCACGTACGACAACCGTTAGCGGCTAGAACGTAAGAAATCTTCAGGGGGTAGACTGTTAAGTAGCCTCATTCATTTTTTCTCTAATGTGATATCTCGTAGTTGTCGTCGTCGTCGTCGTCGTCGACCGTTCACACGCTTCGTCGAGCCGACCGAATTCAACTTATGCGCCGGAGTGTCCTTGCGCGTGCGCGCGCACTCGGCAACGGCAACCTGTTGCTTCCGCGCGAAGGAGAGAAAAAAAAACAAGAAAAGGGAAAACTGCTCGCGAACGGGCGCCGACGTTGATCGTCAGCCCCACCGAAAAAGGAAGAGCTCACGCTAATTGCCGGGATGATCGCGTCGAGAAAGTCGCCCAGCCCGTCGCGGCGATCGCCAAGGAAAGCGCGCTGGAAATTTCTCACGACGACGGCGCACGCGCGTTCCGGAAAAGTCGCCTCTTGCCCCATTGTTACGGACACGCCGCGACGATGGTGCGCGCTCGACGAGTCGCTATGTACGCACACGCAGCGCGCATTTCGGGGACCCTCCTAAATGGTTTTCGGTTGACTTCCGCTTATACCGAGTTGCATTGTTATGCAACGCATTGCCAGATCCCCGCCCCCCCCCCCTTCCCCATCGCACGTCGCACTAGCAAACGATCGTTTTCTTTCTTTTTCTGGCGCTCGTATTGTAGCCTTGCCAGTTGCAAAGCAAATAATTACAGCGGGCACCTATTTTCCGTCGCGACAACTTCTCGTTAGTCAAATCATTTTGCAACAAGAGCAACGCGCCGCGCAATCTGCTCAGGTTGCAATCGCACGCGACGATCACTGCGCGTATACTCGTCGAATGCCCGTCGTCCGCGGCAGCAGTTCAGCGAAGTGCTACGGAGTCGTAAAAACACGCGCGCAACAGGAATGTCCGATGATCAACTCGGACGGATTTTGCATCGGCAAAAGGAAGATGAAAAACAAAAAATAATAACGCTCTCTAAAAAGAAAAAAAAATATATATATATACAAAGAAATAAATCACAACCGGTCGATACACAAAGCGAGGGGAGGTTAATTTATACGCTACAATGGCTCTCTTTCAGCGGTGTCAATACGCGAGCGAGAGGATGTCCATGCATGCGGGTCATAACGCAAGCCATACACGACAGATTGAACACACGGGCGAGAGGAAAAGAAAAGAAACAAAATTCCAATTGATCTCTAATGGACGGCCGGGCCCGTCGTCAATGAACTTCGTCGAATTGCGAATGGTTATTTAATTTCTCTTTGTTTCCAACGGGACACTTTATTTTATCCGCTCGCGAAATGCAAACAACAATGATTCACAGTCAGCCTTGTCGCGAGCTCACGCACCGCAGCAGGTGCTAGCACACGCGTGCGCACGAACGACTTGTTTTTTTTTTCTTTTTTATCGAATCTAATTAATCCAATAAAAAAAAAATAGGAAGGAGACAAAAAAAAATAATCAGCGCGCGAGAAGCCGGTTTTGAATAGAATACAGCGCGCGAGTTGAAAGAATTTTATTCGGGGGCGGTCTATAGATATAGCCGACATCCTGCTTCGCTCTCTGTCGCAGTATGTGTGTGTGCGTACGTAAGCTACTTGGCGTTCGCAGCCGATGAATGCCGAGTTACAGTACGCTTCTTTCATATCTCTACGCCGCAGCCACGTTCTCTTTCCTTTTTTTTCCCGCCCGTCGAGTTTTATTACTCGCTCGCCAGCGAGTCGGATTGTAATTGGCATTAGCGAAAGTTTATTCGATGGCATTATTCTCCGAGGGAGACAACTAGATGCGAAATTTTCCGTCGGAATTTGCTTGGGCGCTCGATGCCTAAATTGACGCGGATGACTTGAGAGCTTTCGGCAATTTCGTCACCGGAAACCCAGTTTACGACGCCCGCCAAACTTGGTCGCTAAGTTCGTAAACAAGTTCGGTTATTAATTTCGATATACAGAATAACCTGGCCGAGAGCTATACCGAGATGAACGCAGAAATATCCGGCAGTTTAAATTGCGCGAAATGTACGCACAAGCCAAACGTTTGCATATTTCAATAGCTTTGAATATCAAATTAATACTCGCAGGTTAAAATGTCCACTTGCGAGAACGAAAAAGAAAAAAAGAAATCGCAGACGCGCCCGCAGAAGGTAATTGTAATCACTTTATAACGAGAGGAGCAAGTTCCCCCTCTTTCCTCTTTTCCGTCTCTCTCTTTCTCTCACTCTCTCTTTCTCCCGTGCAAAGGCATGAATTAAGTGCAAGAAGATGTGTCTTTGACGCGCACGCACACACAATCGACTGCTCGGAGGAAGTGTCGTAACAGTAGCTCTCGGTGCGTGAATAATCACGCAGATTGCCGCCACACGCACGCACACGCACGTATCGCAGTCGCTTTGAAAAACGTTGTCGAGAGACTCAAAGTGCAAAGCAATTATATACGGCTATTTGCGTGATACTCCGCGGTCGTTTTCTCTCTCTCTCTCTCTCTCTCTCTCTCTCTCTCTCTCTCTCTCTCTCAAATATTGATGAGGTGACGTAAAGCTTCGCAAGGCAAGATCGAATCAGACGCAGCGGAGTGCGATGATTGTGTGGAAAAGTTTCGAGCTGCAACGAATAAATTGATGACTATATCCACGTCTAGCGAAGCATCGCGGTTCTCACGCGCGCTCGAAACGCCCACATCTTTTTCGAGATTCGTCATACGAAAAGTAAACGACCTTGTTGAAATGAGATATCTCAGCGCTCGTAAGGTCGACAAGCAAGGTTGCGGGGCTGCTGCCGTCGCTTCGCGCCTGACGTGTGATAATTTTCAGGATAATTTTCAGCGATCAAAGCGCGACTTCTGTCGCGATTATTATTATTACGGACTCTGGCCGTCCTCCATAAATCCGAGCGCGACAATCAATTCCCAAGCGCGGCTTTCCAATCGTCAATCGACGATCCAATCGCGCGTGAACTTGCCGCTACGGGATACATAACTCAGCGCGCGTGTCGGGGGAGGAGGCAATTAACTAGCCCAATTAACGGCAATCAGATGGGCTTTAATTTAATCCTGGCGCGCAGTCTTCGAGGAATGCTCCCTACCCTTCTGCGTTTAGCACGATTCTCGACTTTTAACGCGCGCAATCTCGCTGATAATACGCAAGAGCTGTTGGCCGACGATAACAGTCTCGTCCCCGTAGCCGCGGCCATTGATTAAAGCAGCGTCGGTGCAATGCAGGCCGTTGCTCCCACGCGCGTACCGACGAGTCCCATACTTCCGCGTCGCTGCGCGCGAGCTGTTGATTTCCGTACGGCAAGATCGTCGCCTTCGCTGACTCTTCTCCGACTCGAGTGCGCGCACCACGGGAGTTCGCGGCCTTCGCGCGGCTACGCGTTACGACTCGCCGCCCGCGAATTTCGGCGCATCGTACCCACCGCGTGCTCGTCTTGTGGGTCAAGAGCTCGTCGTAACTCACGCGTCGACGCGACGGTACAATGCGTTTACGTCGTGAATTACCATCCGCTCTCGCGCTGTAAATCTCGCCTTTAATCGTCCGCTCCCCCTGTCGCCTGCATGCGCGCGCGCGGATAATGGGAAAATATTCCCCGCGGGACGTGAATACAGAAGCCAACCGTCCGACCACTCACTGAATCATCGTTTCAGATACGAAATGGAACTACGGCTATCCGTACGTTATCTCGCCTCGCCATGCCAGTGTTCGACGCGAGGCCATAGCGCCTCGAGTTTGCGTTTCGTCTCGCACGGCTTTCTCTCCTTCGCGACACGGATGACGCGACAGGAAGAAAGATGCAAAGCGGCGCTTGGTGGCTCGAGTCATCCGTTGCAATCGAGTGCGTTCGTTCTAGGCCGTCGGAAATGCCGTGAAAAAACTAGACGATCTCCGGAGAGAAAAGAAAAAGAACAATGAATGTAGCCGCTTCCTCGTGGATTTGCTTTGGGCGCCGAGTGGCGCTCCATTGTTTGCGTTGCGTGCCACCGCGGCGCGGCGGCAAAGCGCCAATAATCTCCACGTTCCCGGAGATAACGCCGCTGCGAGTCGAAAAGCAAGCAGGCGGCTTGATTATTTGTCGGGCGGCGCGGATGCTCGCCCGTCCGGCGTTCGTCGCGCGCCGCTTGAATCGAGAGGCGCGGCGTTCGAGGTTCGCAAGCTACGTATCGCCTCGCGCTCCACTGTAAGTACGATCGTCACCGCTATTAATAATCGGCGAAAGCACGCTTCGTAGAACCGCCGCCGTGTTTTAGGGCCCGCTGTTATCTCGGCAAACAGGCGACTCGCCGAGTAGGAAAAGAATCGAAGCGCCTACGATGGAGAAATCCCACTGCGCGCGCGTGTGCGAAAGAAAAGGAGCCACTGGCGCGGGCGCTTGGCCAACGGAATTAATTCGCCAGCTGCAGCTGCTTTGCTAAGAAACCTGCCCGAGACGTGAGAACCACGAGGCGCATCTGATGCGCCGCTCGTTCGTTCTCTCTCTCTCGAAGAGGGGATTAGTTTCTTCGGTCGTTGGATTTTTCTTTTTTTCCTTTTTCTCTGTCATGTTTCGAGGGGATTTTCGAAAAAGAGATCATATTGGACGTTAGAGCGCGCTAAGTGTTTGCTCTCGGACGGTGAATAGCTGTTATTTTTATGCCGTTGGCTATTTTCGAAGCCTTGATATTGCCGAAGCAGATCGCTCATCTCGAGGCGTCGTTGTTATTAATGCGAGTGGCGCAACGGGAAAGCTAATCCTCTCGATGTGCAAGCAACGTGTCGTCACCGTATCCGCTGTCGCTCGTGTCGGCAGCGAATAATCGGCGAAACCCCAAACAAGACGCGAGCAACACGGCCGCGAACAGCTCCAAGAGACAGCCGACCGCCCGCCGCGGCGAAAGGTCCCTTTGTTTTGCGCTCTCGAAATAGCGCCGTTGGATAATGGAGCGGTTCGGTCAGACGCTACGCCAAAGCCAAGGTTGGGTTCTTCGATGTCGAATCGTCTCGTTGCGCGCGTAATAATTGCAGCGACGCGCTAATTTTCCAGGATGACCGATGGCTAAGAGAGAGAGAGAGAGAGAGACGAGGATAGCGAGCTTCGCTCCACGTTCGCGCGCCTCTCGCAGGCTTGAAGCAGGAGAGGCCTTGCAGCTGCCCGACGACGATGCGAGAGTGGCTTTTCGCTCGTCCGCGCTAACATATCGACTCGCGCATTTTCTGGCTTACGCTGCAAGTCGCGTCGGGTGAAAACGACGCGCGCCTCGCGGTGACACCTCTCGCGCGGCGCCCCATTCGTCATTATCGCGCCATCTCGCGACGCAGGACACTGAAACCGCTCTCGGCGGCTTTTCCCTTCATCTTCCATCGATAAAAATCTCAGGTGCGCGCAGCCGGCTTGCGTCGCGCAGCTGGGCTCCTCCTCGCTCTTCCACCCTTCGTCGCCGTCAATTATTTGGAAAAGGAGGGACAGGAAGTGCAATACTGTTATGACGACCGCGCGTTTGCTTCCAAATACACGCGAGCGCGCACGTCCGTACGATCCACGTTTGTTTGGATTACACGCCGATCGTTTGTGTTGCTTTGCCTCTTGGCTTTTTTTACTCGAGGCTCAAGGGGGAGAGGGAGGATGGAATGCGGGATAATTGGAGAGCGAGATGGACGATTGTTGATACTGTCGTTGAACTCGGCGGGCGACGTTCCCTTTGGCTTGCTCGACAGGCTAATTAGACGCGCTCGCCGAGACTTTGATTTCCCGCTCTGGCAGGCGACTTCGCGAAAGTCACTTCCGCGGCGCAGCTCGTAACGCCTTCCGAGATGTGCGTGCGAGGCGCGAAGGCCGAGCGCGCGCACCTGCCCGGCGCTGCTCGACCGCACAAAGAGACGAGACACGAGGCCGAGTCCAGAAGGGAGCGGATAATGCCGTGTATCTCGCGCGCGCGCGCGCATCTCGCGTGTGCACTCGACTTTTTATAAATAATACGAGGGCGCACGCCGGAAGCGCGTCCCGAAGGAGAGAGCCGCCGAGCGCGCGCCGAGACGATCAAGGCGAAAGCACGCTGCGCTCGCTTTCACGCGTGGAGCGCGAGAGTCCGTCCTTGAGCGCTCACCCGTCGTCGAACGAGGGCGAATCTTCGCCGCCTCGGGCTCTCGCCTAGAAGCCGTTGCGCGATCGGTGACCGCCTACATTCGGGCCTCGCGAGAGCGAGGTAGAGAGATCGCCGATGCGTCATCTGGTTGCGACTGTCGACGAGAGGGCGCGCGAGTGGCCTGCCTGCGTCCAGCAATTACGCGCCCAGCAGAAGACCAGCGTCGCGAAACAGGCGCGCTAAAGTGTTTCTCGCGCAATTATTTCGTTTACGCGCGTCACCTTGGGCGCTCGTGCGCATTTATATGTACACGGGTAACGCGACACCCTGGAAGGTCAGCCGGCTTGCGCAACGCTCGCATCCGCTGAAAAGCCGCACTTTTCCGAGCGCGAAGCTCGCTTATCTCGCCGTTCTCTTTGCTTTCCGCGAGACCTGCGATTCGACAAGTTGACTCTTGACGCGAGGCTAATGAACCGCAGCCACGCGCGCGTCCGATTGTACTATTGATTTAGCTCGCGATAAAATTCGACAGCGTTTCGTTGGCTCTCGACCATTTTGCGCCTAGTAAGCTCGCTCTCTTTCGCACAAGGAAATGTTCCACCTCCGATCGTCTGTTTCAGGACGTCGAACTGTCCGAAGGAATGATTCCCGAAGACACCATGGAAGTCGAGGTGTCGCACTGCCGCGAGCTCCGCATTCAAGCCGGAGCGTTCACGGGCGGTGCCCAGCTGAAGCGCGTACACGTGTCCGGCATCTACACCTTGGTGGCGAACAAGCAGGCCTTTCAGAACATCAGCGCGCCGAATCCGTTGCTGGAGGTGTCCGAATGCAATCGGGTGATACTCGAGAGCCACGCGTTCAAGAATACCAAGGGTCCGCTGAGCGTGTCGATATCGAGATGTAAACACGTGACCATCAAGCCAAACGCATTCTCGTGGCTGCTGCAGATCAGCGTGAGGGAAGTGCCGAATCTAGAGCTGTCGAGCAACGCCTTCAAGTTCGAGACTCCGCAACATGGTCGACACGGACCAGCGACCAAGGTAAACGCCTCGTTCCCGCGCGACAAGCGAACGAGATATGATGCCCTCCCCGCCCCTTTCACCGGGACAATTGCATTCAATCGATCCAATTCTTGGTTTTGCAGATAATGTTCCAACGGGTGAAGATCCCGGAGTTGCCGACAGCAGTGTTTCCCTCGACGGCCGCGGAAATTCGTATGGACGACTTGTGGACAGGCAGCATCAAGAAGGACGCGTTCTGCGCCATGAACGTACTCAGCGTGGTCATAAGCAACGCGTCGATCGTTGAAATCGAGCCGGGAGCGTTCAGCGACAGAACCCTCATACACGGCTTGGAATTCGTCGACGTGAGAATGAAAACCGTGCGTGCCGGGGCTTTCAGAGCTGGAGCCAATAATCTGACCATACAATATTCCAGGTGCGCAATTCGCTTTCACGCGCGCTTCCATGTGCGAAACTGTCATTTGTATTCTCTGCAGGTTGTCCGAAGTGGAATCCGGAGCGATAGACATAACCGTGGCGACGGTGACCTTCAACAACAACGAGTTCTTCAATTTACACCGCAACTCGATCGTGTTCCATCAGTGGAATCGCATCGCCATCGATTACAATCTGTTCCAGCGGCTGGAAACGAATGCCATCAATGCCATAACCTCCGACACGGCCAAAGCAACAAGCTTGGAGTTCTCATTTTCCGGAAATCACATCCACGAGGCCGAGGCCAAATCCCTTACCTTCGTCGAGATATCGCAGAGCGTGACGGCAGCTCGAGTCGGCAGTAATTACTTCAAGCTCACGTGCAATTGTAATTTGGAGAGCTGGGTGCAAGAGCGTATTGGCAGTAACACCTCGGTGTCGTGGATCATGGACTCGAGTTACTGCGTGATCGACAAGTTCCTGATGAACTGCTTCAATCTGCCGGAAGGTTACCTGGGCATGCGCAATTATACTCAGACGATTTGTTCCAAGACCGACAAGAGGATCAATTGCACGTTGCCAACGGCCAAATCAGAGCCAAGCGTGAGTCCGCCAAGTGTCGGTCCACATCAGTATCCAAGGCACAAGGGTTACTTCGACGTGGAAATGAGCGATCCCGATCAAATGGAGCGCGAGAAGAGGATCATCATGATCGTTTGCGTAGTGGCAGTGTTTTCGTTGTGCGTGGTTATTCTCACCTCCGGCGTGCTCTATATGCGTCGTCGCGGCGTCTGTCCAAAGCTGACGTCCGGAACGCTGAACCTGGCCAATTCGTGGTTCTCGCCGAACAGCGGCATGACTGCGGCCACGTCGGCGAGATCGATCTCGAGGCTCAGCGTGCACGAGTACGCGGGTCTACAGCCGGAAACGCGGATTCTCGACATAGAGCCTCATCAAGACGCCGTGGAAGAGGATCAAGGAGCCGCCGAAGGTGGTGGCGATTGCGCCTTCACGGAGAACAAGGCGACGCAAACGCTGCCCGAAGAACTGACCGAGGAGTATCTCACGGAATTGAGAGAGAGACTGACCGACCCAGAACAGTACAGTTACGCTCGTGATATGATCGAGCATCTCTACGATCTCATCAAAGTCGAGGAGAGTTGTAACAACAATAACGACAGGCGGCCGTCCCTCGACGGCAACGCTTACGACATGATCAGGCCTAAGCCGAACAGGACGCGAGTCGGACCAAGACAGCCCTCGATCAGTATAGGCACCAAAGTTCCATCCTTGGACAAGCTTCTGCCGACGTTGTTGCGTCCACGACCACAGATTACGGAATACGCGGAACCGCGGGATCACAGGGTTATTGATCAGAATCATTTGTACACTGAATTGCCGGGTGACGAGACAGTGCCAAGTACAAGTCGATTGTCCGAACCCGTACTCGCGACTCTGGCAGGCAGGGCGCCGCAACCTCTACCTCCAGATGTCATTAACGGTCATGGATCGTCGGCTGCGGAGCAAGAAGCTGCCGCCAGCGACAAGAAGACTAAAAGTTTCTTTCAGACGTTAGGCGAAACTTTTTACGCATCCAAAAAGATACAAAACCCAAAAAGGCCAGAGTCGTTGTTGGACGAATATACAGATCCTTCGGACGTGACTGCTCATCTCTACTCGGAACTGTCAGAACCAAAGCAGCAGCAGCAAGCCAATAACAATAAGATGGCCAATCGACCACTGCCAACTAAACCAGATCACGAGGCCATCGTTAAGACGTAGTGTTACTTCTCCGTCCTTGAGACCCTACCTTATTATACAGTCAGTCCGAGGGTTGACACAAACACACACCTGTCTGTGATAAACGAAAAAATATAAACGAGTAAATCAATGTCTTGTTGCATACAAGCTCGGTGGTATGAATGCGCGACTTGGGATGATACTTTTTTCAATGTATATCGTTGCGTTTCCCTTACTGATTATTGATTTTTTTCTTTTTTATTTGTATTACATATGTGGCTACGTAGAACATTGTATAGATTTATTAATAAAGCCACGTACCGCCATACGAACGAATGTGTGAGAGCGAGGATAAAATGGAAAATGCGCCATTGATTATTTAATAACGAGTAGTCTCATTTCCTTGATGTAACATACGATTTTATAAATATTATTATATGTATAAATATGCCTCGACAGTTTATCATTAGAGCATTTTATTCGAAACGATAATCAGATGTTTTATTTTTCGTGTTTTCCTATCCTCGAAGATTTTGTTGGAGAAATCCAAAAGACCGCTGATTACCTTCATAAGCATGATGTTTCTTATGGTGGAAGCCGTGACTTCCTGTCGCGTTTTAGTTCTCGAGCTTTATCACACGGCTGCGCGCTCGGCGAACGAGAATACACACTCACGCACACATACACCGGAGAATATTTATTTCCGGCCGAAGGGCTTTCGGAAATAGCTACTGCGACCTTTGTTTCGCTCAGCTGTGCAAGAGCAATCCTCGCTGCTGGTATTTTTATCGTGGACTTAATCCTTTTTCATGCGACGCGGATTTTCAAACACGACGTGTGTGCTTTCGGGTTTATCAAAAGGATTAAATACATTTTGATAAATTGATGAACGTATTTGATACATTAAAAGTTATTTTTATTTTTAACGAAGTTCGATCGTCGAGCTTCTAATAGTCATATTTTTGTCTCTCAACGTGAACATAGAAGAGCGAAGTATAGAATATTGAAAATCAAAATCGAGGTAATGCAGCAACAAACTCGGCTCTGATTCCAACATCGAAAAATCAGATCTGGCGCACAGCACGGATCACAGATGAGTGAGCGAGAGAGCGGGATGAAGATGCACGCAGACACGCACATGTGCTCTCTCGAGACAACGCCGCCGCCGCGGCCGTCGACGACAAGATATTCTCGTATGGCCGAAAGCCCCAAACATATCTGCGCGGGAATGCGAGAGGAGCAAATCGTCGGGGGCTGCGACGCAGCTGCTGCCTCTGCTCGCGAGCAGTCCCCGAGTGGGTTCGCGGCGGGCGTCCTCATCACGGATCGCGAGCGCGTCAAAAAATTATCCGCCCGCGGACTCCCGGTCAGCGAACGCGAAGCCGCAATAGACGTTGGCAATTGTCGAAAAGGCGACGAGCGCGTAGATGGAGTGCGAGAGATCACTTTTGAATCATAAGATTGGGTCAGGGACCACGAAAGTGCTTGCGCATGCGGCGAGATAGATGGGATGATTGGCCGTCCGTCACGCTCTCTCTCTCTCTCTCTCTCTCTCTCTCTCTTGCTCTTTGACGAGCTCTGATGAAGCCATGCAATAGCGGACACACGACTATGCTATCGCACACGCCTGCCGTCGAAAAACGTTTCCATCCGCTTCCCCCTCGCGCTGGCCACCCGAACGCTGGCCAAAAATCGAGTCATTGTTTGACATCCTCGCCTCCCCCTCTCTCTCTCTCCTTCGTCCCTAAGAAGCTCGATCCGTTCGGCTGTAAAACATTTAGCCACGCGATATACATACAAGGCGGCGAAATTGCTCGTAACCGCTGCAATTTTTCTCTCCCGCATACGGTCAGCAGCGCGACTTGGCGTTTACGATTGGCTCCTATACGTGACGACGAAGCAGGAGAGAGAGAGAGAGAGAGCAAAGAATAAAAATAAAAAAAAAGTAGAGACGGCGCCGTTATCTCCGACGACGACAAGGTTATATCTTCGGGGCCCTTCCATAAACCGTAGCGAGAGCGAGGCGCGACGTGCGATTAATTTTTTTCGCCATTTTCATTTCCACGCGCGCGGCCCGAAAGCCGTAAAACCATCAAAAGCCCGTCGTCGGCGGCATTTGCAAGTTTATTAGCGCGAATGGGCGTAGCCCGGGCAGTAAAACAAGAGGCGCGCTCGCGCGGGCTTTAGTTTACGAAAACACCGCTCTGCGCTTGGCGCGAGAATCTCGCCAGACGCCCGCCACCGCCGCGGCGCTTGCAAGTGCATCGAGGCAAGAAGTGCCGGCAAAGAGGGTTATTGATCTGTTGGCGCGCGCTTGGCTCTTTTGCGCCCTCGGCTTAGGCGGAGAGCTCGAATAACTGGCGAGTGATTTTTGCCGGGAACGCTCTCGATTCGTCGATAACACTTCAAAGCCACGCCGGAAGAACAACGCCTCGCGTTCGCGCTAAAAGGCCGTCCGATAATGGGCGCGAGCTGCGCCGAGAGCTACGTCAATTATTCGAGCCACCTCCAAGGCGACGCACTCGCGGAAAAGCGTCGCTTAGTCGCTAAAATTGATGGTCCCCCGACGTTACCACCAATAAAAACGGAGTCTTACAGCGCCGAGGCTCGCTAAGGAAGAAGAAAAAAAAAATTACCAAGCTACTCGCAATTTTCCCGTCGCGACCAAGTACCAGTGGCGCAAAAACGAGCGTGGCCCTTTAATGGACTGCGACGCTGCGCGCGCTGTAAATATTATTTTTGAGGAAATGATCGAGGGCCAGGCGTAGCATCGACTTTCGTACTATTCGAGCGTCGATCGGCTTTATGCGTTTGATTCAAGTTTACTGCCTGTCGTTTCTGTTGCCTTTTTTTGTCCTTTCCGCGTGCGCGAGATTATGGAATGTTGACTGGAGATGTCGTAAAAGAGTTTAAGCCTGTCGTCAAGCGTTATATATCACGAGAGAGATTGTTTGCTCGCGGAAATGTAGTAATAGCCGTTTTGTTCACGAGAGGATAGTTATTTTTTTTATTATTATTCGGAATGAGCGTAAACGCAACGTTATCTCGCCGTTTCGCTTTTATAATGATTGCTTGTAACGAAAATGTCGATGTTGACGTCCAGATACCCCGATTAATGCATTGTGGTGTACTAATAGACGAGCGGCGATCAATCCGACAGAAACCCGGTGGAAAAGTAGTGTCAAAAAGTTGATCGAAATAGTAGCCCTCGCCTGCCGACAGAAAAGTATCCACGCACTCAAAACGCCGCGCCTCCGTCGCCCGACAAGGCACTTGGCAAGCGTACAAAAATTGAAAAATCACCGAAAACATAAGTCGACGTCTGCGTCTCGTCTGAGAGCCGCGCGCAGGATGTCTCTCTCCCTCTCTCTCTCTCTCTCTCTTTCGCAGTGCATATAGAGAGAAGAGCCGGAAGACGCTTCGCGGAAGATGCGGAGACGAAGCCGCCATAAGCGCACTTTTTAAGCCGACTAGACGGCCTCGCGGTGCTCCCTTTTCTTTTGTTTTTGTCTTTTCACCGAGCTCCCGATTGAACACGACTCGTGCCGCACGGACGCGGGCACAGTTCCTCGCTGGGAGGTGATTTTTCGAAGGGCTTCGGATTTCAACTATGCATTATTTACCGCATAATTCCATTCGCAGGCCTTCGATTTTTCGTGAAAAATCGTCAGCTTGACGATGTCTCAAAGCCATACAGCTTTGGCGAAACTCGGTCGCGGTAAATTCAGCCCGCCCGAAACAAATTACCCAGTTTCTCGCAGAGGTCAGTCACGACTTGTTGCACCAGATCTCTCCTAAATCGGTGTCTCGAGAGATGAGGGCGCCGAGTTAATCTCTCTTTCTCTCTACTCGCTTTTTCTAAATTTACACGATGCGAGATTATTAATGGCATGGAGTGCACGGCGCGGCTTAAGACCTTTTTTGACGCTTGATTTATATGGTCGCGTGGTGTATACACGCAGCTTGTCATGACGCGTGAATGGAAGACAATGTATGCGGGTTGGATTTTCAGTTTGCGAATGAATCAGTTGATATTTTTGTGGTGTCGTTTAAATCGGTCTTGGTCAACTTATTTTTTTTTCCTGGATGGCTTTTGATCGTGTCATTTTCGCTGATCATTTAATACTAAGAACATTTTTTTTTAAGAACGATAAGCAACGAGAGCTCGATTAGGAACTAGAAAATCATAATATCGGTGCAGTCAAACGTATAGACGCACGTTGAAAATAATCGACGTGGACATGATTTTCAGTTTTGTTACTACGAAATTGATGATATTTAAGTCCATGACGAATACTTACGTCTTCAGCAGAAAAAATTATAAGAAACCAAAACGGAAATTAAAAATGTAATTAACGAAAACCGTTGAAATCTTAGTGACGTACTTAATAAATAGAAATCGTTTAAAATTACAGTGTAGCTAGTTTTTTTACTTCTTCATTGTGTACTCGATAACAGTCGACCTCAAAGTACTCAGCGAATTTGTTGAAAAGTTACCAGCAATTGGAATTCGACTTTAAAAATTGGAGGTAAACATTTTAGCGAAGTTGTTTAGAAGTACAAATAGTGAGGATCTGCCATACAGTTAGTTATCTTCTTTTGCATCATATCTTTCAACTTAAGGTTGGAGGCGAGTTTGATAACAAGTTCTAAGGAATTTTTTTTTTTTTTTTTTTTTTTTTTTTTTTTCATTTATTAAACGGGTAAAAACCCAAATCAAAACATGACAAATAATAAGCATACAAAATAAAAAAATAAAAGAATTTAAATCCACGCGTTCGAAAAATCGTTAACTCCTCAATTTTATTATCAAGTCGTCATTGCTTTTAACGAATAAGCTTTAATTGTTTCTAAGCAGCTCTGGAAATAGTTATAGAGCACTACTACACGTGCATCAGATTCCTTTTCAATATATAGACGAAATTAACGAAGAGGCTGTTAAAGCTGTTCGAGACTTCGCCCACGGTACGAGAATGAGTATAGCCTACAGCGGCACTCACTCAAAACTCAATCAAAGCCAAACCAACGGCAGCCTTAAGCCTAAGCATACCATCCAATAATAGTCCACAGCCAGAAATTCCCGTGGTCGAAAAGTCAGTCAACGAAAGGAGCTTTCGATGCATGGCGCGCGCGCGTGTGCGTCCATAAATACGCTAAAAGCAACATCTCCCACGTATATTTCCCAGCTCCTGACACGCGTCTGACAGAAAGAGAGAAAGCAAGAGAGAGAGGACCAATTCGAAAATGGTCGTCGCGCACGCAGCGTGCAGTCTTTCGCCGAAGGATCGCGCCTCTGCAGCCGGCAGCGCAGACTACAATATTGAGGCTCGAGTGTCGGGAATAACATCCCATGGCTTCGTCGATCCAACGAGGGTATAACGGTTTTTTCAAGGGCTGGCACGTGGTCTCCCGATCGCGTACACCCGTTGCCAGAGCGCGCACGTGCGCTTTTTTTCCGTCGTAAATAATGCACTCGAGATGC